TGGAAAAACAAATGCTTTTCATCTATTGTAACTAATACGAACAAGCTCTTAACCTGTGAAATGCAATGAAGTACTTAAGCAGCATTAATGAGAAGAAAGGACTCGTTGGAAAAGCCCCTGATGTTGGGAATGATTGAAGGCAAAAGGAGAAGGGGACGGCAGAGGATAGATGGTTAGATAGTATCATCGACATAGTGAACATGAATTTGGGCAAACTTGGAGAGACAGTGGAGGACAGGAGGAGTTGGTATGCTATGGCTATGGGGTTGTGAAGAGTCAACATGACTTAGCAACTGAATAATAACTTAAGCACTACATTAACACTGTATTATATAATATACAGAGGATCAAAAGAAAGTTTAACAAAATGAAATAGTTAAACAAAATTTATTAAAGAAATTTTTAAATAAGCACTTGAATATTCAAAGTTTATCTAAGGTACTTTGATCAACAAGTATTTCATTAAATTATATAATAGCCGTATTTGACAAAATTCTAAACTTCTTTTAGTGCTTCCAAGAAGGGGGGGGGACTTAGTCAGTAAACAAAACACTCAACACTGCCTCCCCCACATCAGCTATCTCCAATGCAGTGATTATTCTCCAAAAAACAGTATCACTTCCAAGCCTAATTTTTTTTTATTGCTTTTACAGTCTCTTTCATTAGTTTTAAGATTTTAATATTTCAAGCAGCAGCATTACTTAGGTGAATTTCTAACAAAGAATGACACAGCATGACCATTTTAATATGTTGTCATAATCTGACAAAATCGTGTAAATATTCATAAATTATAATTTTAATAAATAAACAAATAAACAATTAGGAATACATGGTTTATTCTCCTTAAATATAATAGATTATATGACTGCAGAGAAATAGCAGTGCATAACAGTGCATATTTCCAAAGCTAGTTAGCTTTTAAAAGTTATTTCAGTTCTATCATGCAACCCTTTAAGTCAGCTTACCTATGTAGTAGAACTTTGTAAGCCATTTTCATTGTTTTTGCTATTCCAAATGAACATTTCATATGAAAACACTTCATTGGAAAAAAACTAAACAGATCAGCAGTCTCTGTTGGCTATTCTGCTTGCTTAATTTAAGTAGTTGCTTCTAAGATAGCATTGAAGTACTGCACTAAGTCCTGCAGTCTACATAGAAAAGACTGCAACATGAGGTCACTACAGACAGTAAGCTGCCCAATCAACATTTTACTTCTAATAGGCAACTCCTGGATACAAGAAAGTGGATCTTAAGGGCATCTGAACAAATGTGCAACCTTTTCCATTTAAATCATCACAGAAAAATGTGAAATGTATAAATGTCGTTCTAATTTCAATTATTCCATATCATAGTTTACATAAGCCCTTAATGCAGCCAAAGAATAGGAAACTCAGCTCAAACTGCAATAAAACTGGTTTATCCAGCTATGAAAGTAAATAATATTCATCAACAGAGATGAGTATACAATAAAAGTATCACAGATACTTTAGATACTATAAATAGCTAGCATAGGCTATCTATTTTTGGTGTTATTCAGTATTAGTTAACAGAATAACAGAGTTGGAGCAGACCTTGGAGGTCTTCTAGTCCAACCCCCTGCTCAGCCAGGAAACCCTATAACATTTCAGACAAATGGTTGTCCAATCTCTTCTTAAAAACCTCCAGTGTTGGAATACCCACAATCTCTGGAGGCAAGATGTCCCACTGATTAATAGTTCTAACAGTCTCCTTAGTTATAGGTTGCTTCTCTCCTTGGTTAGTTTCTATCCATTGCTTCTTCTCCTGCCTTTAGCTGCTCTGGAGAATAGCTTGACTCCCTCTTCTTTGTAACAGCTCCAGATATTGGAACACTGCTATCATGTCACCCCTAGTCCTTCTTTTCATTAAATTTGACAATCCCAAATTCCTGCAACCATTATTCATATGTT